GGGTCTTTGACGGTTGCAAACCAGCCAAAGGACGGCTTCGGACTCATCTTTAGCGCGACCACCTCCGCAGTCTTCTGCGCCCAGACACCTGTATCGGCCTACATTTGCCCACGGGGTTTCAGGCATCATGCGAGTCTCCGCATCTCCATCGTTCCTGTGATCGATAAATATGCAGCTTTATCACTGCCGGGACTGGATAATGATACCCCGGCAGCCTGGTAGCAACAGACAAGACGGGACGGATGCCCAGCGCTGAGTTTCCCGGGCCGCCGTCTTATCTTGCCGAGACACCCACCCCCCAGCGATTGACCCCAAATCGTGAAATGGATCCCCTGGGCCCCCCTCACAGTCTCCGCGGCGCCGTTCTGGCACTGTTAGCTCGCGCTCTAGTCGTTTCCCCTCGCAAGATGCACGATCTCGGACGATGCGTCCCGAGTCCATCACCGATGACCGGTGCTGTATTGCGCCATGAGGAGGATTCTTATGCCCCCGGTAGCCGCGCATGCTTGTATTTAACAACTTTGACGTGTCTCGGTGCGCGCGTTGAAGAATCTCTCTTATCGTGAACTGTCTTGCACACTCGAACTTGCGCGCCGCGATACGGAAAATCGTTACCGAATTTAATACGACATCATGGGCAGTCTTAAGACGGAAGGTTCCGCTCCCTGGGAATTGGCTGGTGCCAAGAAGCGCGAGGCCCTCGCATCATCGATCCCCTCAGAATGGCGCATCCCGCAGGACCTGCTCCCTCCAGAGTTCCAGGAGGACGTCACGGGGTGGCCTGAGACATCGGGCTGGTTCACCCCGAAAGAGCTTGTCATCACCGAACTCAACGCCGCTGAGCTTCTTCCCAAGCTTGCGTCTGGAGAACTCAAGTCTATCGACGTCACCAAGGCTTTTTGCAAGCGCGCTGCGGCGGCGCATCAACTGGTAAGTCTGAGATTGCGCGTGTGGACATAGAATCAACTGGCGCTGACATTCGCGTTCAAAAGACAAACTGCCTCTCTGAAACATGCTTTGACCGCGCCTTCGCAACGGCACAGGCTCTCGATGAGCACCTGGAGCGCACCGGTAAACCAGTAGGACCTTTCCATGGATTGCCGATCTCGCTCAAGGACAACTTCAATCTGAAGGGTTTGGACGCCACTGTAGGAATCGCCTCATACGTGGGTAGCCCGGCCGAGTACGATGCTGCGCTGGCGACACTGTTGGAAGAGGCTGGTGCCGTGTTCTACGTCAAGACGAACGTTCCTACAGCGATGATGATCGCCGAATCGGTCAACAATGTGTTTGGAAGAACTGTCAACCCGAGGAACAGGAATCTCACTAGTGGTGGAAGTTCGGGTGGAGAGTCTGCTCTGATCGTGATGAAGGGCAGCCCTTGGGGCATCGGCACTGATATTGGTACGTCTCGACAACTTTGGCGACTCCTTTTTCGTTGTGATTGCTAATCAGCATTTTTCAGGTGGCTCCCTGCGCATTCCTGCCGCGTGCACCGGCATCTTCACCCTCCGCCCCTCATTCGGCCGCTTCCCCACTCTCGGCTGCCGATCCGGCATGGGCGGCCAAGAAGCAGTTCAGTCCGTCAACGGCCCGATGACCCGAACGATCACCGACCTCGAGCTTTACAGCAAGACAGTCGTCAACCGCCAAACGTGGCAATATGACCCTCGCTGCGTCCCAATCGCGTGGAGAGATGTCGAACTCCCCAGCAAGCTTAAGATTGCTGTCATGTGGAACGACGGCATGGTCAGGCCGACTCCTCCCGTTGCACGCGCCCTCCATGAGACCGTCGAGAAGCTCAAGGCAGCAGGTCACGAGATTGTTGAGTGGGACCCGAAGGACCAGAAGGAGGGACTGAGTCTGCTTGACCGCATGTTCGTCGCGGACGGCGGTATTTCCATCAAGAAGGAGTTGGATAAGACGGAAGAGCCGTGGAGGCCTGAGATGGCAGCCTACTCCAAGGCAAAGGAGCTCGGCACATATGATATGTGGCAACTTCACCTGCAGAGGACGGCGTTCCAGAAGAGGTACCTCGATCGGTGGGTTGCGGCGGGCATTGACGCTATCTTGTGCCCTACAACGCCATTTACAAGTGTCAAGAACGGCACTTTCAAGCATGGTGAGTTGTATCCTTTGACTAGAAGTGAGAAAAAGGTGCTAACAATGATGCAGTGGGATATACCGGTGTCTACAACGTGCTGGATTATTCTTGCGTGTCTTTCCCTACTGGCTTGTCTGCGGATAAGAGTGTGGACGCACCCAGCTCAGGAGACACGCCGTTGGGACCGGTCTGCGAAGCAGTACATGCCGAATGTGAGTACAATAAAAACAGAATCTCATCTATCATCGCTAACCACTATTGCAGACAACCCGAACGATGTTCATGGAATGCCAATCAGCTTGCAACTTGTTGCTAGACGCCTAGAGGAAGAGAAGGCAATCGCCATGGTCAAACAAGTACTAGAGGTTATTTGAACAGAGTCAATAGACAAATAGAATAATACGTCTTCATTATCGTCAACTTCGAGGTGACTTTATCCCATATGTGTGAGTTGCGAATCCGCAAGCGTCCAAGAACGCTTGAAAAAAGAAAGAAAAAAGAAAAGGGGTAACTCCAAGTGAAGATAACCACCACCCAAGTTTCAGTTTATCTTGACGTGAAGGATTCAATTTGTTTTAGTAACAGAAACCGATTCTTGCGTAAGTTTGTTCTTAAATACGCAAACTTAGCATGATTGGGAAGCAGGAAGCTTTCAAAGTTGCCTGGCGTTTCATGAAATATACAAGCAATTATTCCTTCATGAAGGAACCCAGGGATAGACCTCATCATAGCAACAGAGCAACCAGCTAACTTGCGTCTAAATGCATTGCATCCCCATGTAGAGGTCATACCATTGGAAAATAAGGTTGGTTTTTGTACACGCAGGGAAATGCATGAATCCATATTATCGACGTCCGGGCTCTCTAAACCTACATCTGGTGCATGGAGGTTGCACATGGTGTCATTTGGTTGCTTGGCAGGTGCTACCTTTCACGCCATCAGTAATCATTGTTAACAGACTTAGTGAACATGTCTCACGGAACTATTCAAAAGTACTACATGCCATGCATGTCAGAAGCCTTGCAGCAAACTTGGTGAACCCTCTCGATTTGGATAATAGCCCTAAGATGAAGACAGATGAAGGCCTTATCATTTGCTTGCACCGAAAGCGACGTGAAAAACCTGTAAACATTGCTGATCTGCGTCCTTCAATTGTGCCACGCAAATTGTTTTTAGTCTTCATGGAGACATAAAACAACATTTCTACGGTCGCAAAATGTTGTTAATAAATAATAAGGCGTCAGCGCCCGTGGCATGATCTAAGGCAAAACAGATGAGATTGAAGCGAGCCATTGGCAACTATTCGTCATTTCAAAAATCTGGTTCCCTTGTTCCTCCCCTCGCAAACGATCCAGCGAACCGGGGGTCATGCGGCCAAGACGATTGATGCACCTGGCCAAGACCCTTGGCGATCACATCCCGCCAGCCAAGGATCTTGGCTGCCCTTGGCTGGACTGCCATCTTCAACCCACAATGCAGGATGCGGACCTAAATTGAACGTCATTTGAATGTTTCTCTTCTTTTTACAATACACATCGTGGCTTTGGAGTCTTGGAACAAGTGAAGATGGATTTTCTGAGTCGTCGGCTCCAAATATGATGATAGGACGAGCAACAAGAGCGGATCAGCAGTTGAAAAATGGTGGGGGTGTTCACTATTTACCTCAGTGCAATCAGTGCTATGATGGACAAGCTTCCTGAGTCGGTGACGGCGAAGCGCCGACATGACATGATCCTCAGGCTCTCGCTCCTATCCCATCTCAGTTTCCTTTCTGGTATGATCGGCCGTTCCCGAACTGCTAAAAACATCGCTCAAGTGGACCTACGCCGGCTGTGCTTTCACTGCTGGCCTGTCCCCTCATCTGACTAGGATCATTGATGGCCGAGGTTCATCCCATTTCACCGCTCGCCAATTGCAGCCCATCTCGAGGACACGTTCAACATTTAACCCACTCGTCCAAATTGCAAGTTATTGCTCTGTTCAATGCGCTCTTTGCCCGCGAATACAAGCAACAGTGAAGTCTACATGTCGTCCTGGCGAGATAGAAACATAGGCTACAGCGTCCACTCAAACGGGGCACATCCGAGCAGTTCGTTGCCTCGGTATCTCGTCGCTATTCCCGGGCCCGCGCCGGGAGCTACCGCAATTAGGTTTACGTAGCTTTCGACGGGAATACTGAAAAAATAACCTTGATTCAAGTGCACTGATAACGGACATCGCCGCAGAACCCCAATACTCCGCCTGTTTGCGAATATCTTATATGTAATCCATGCTAATGATTCGACCGCTGGTCCCTGGCTCCCTGCCCCTGGATATTACCCCATGGCACCTACCATTTTTGAGATGAACCGCCGCAATGAGCCTTCCTAACTTGCTTAGCGGAAAGCGTGGAACCACAACATAAACACCCAATTGCTCCTCTTCCCGTGCTCCCGTCTCTTCTCTCCGCCCACATGCCGACATCACAAGATGCATCACTACCCACCCCACTGATTTGCTTGGTTGCCTTTCCCATGCATGCTACCCACGGTGCGTCCGCACCTCCTCGTCCTGGCTGGTCTTTCCGAAGCTTTTCTTGAATAAACTCATGCTTGGCCCATATGTCTTGCATGAGGGTACCCTTGATTCGTCTCCTTCCAAAACAAGCTTAGATTGCATCGGCCTTACGATTCTCAACGGCTGAGAAGCTGCACCATGGTGATTTTCAACGTGGATTCACCTCCTTGACGTGGCAATGCCTCCGGTATGCCTTATCTGCGCCCATATTCGCGAACGGCTGTTGAGACTGCCAAGAATGGGGAGCATCGAGTATATATAGCGAAGCAGTTTTCGCTCAACATCGTGTTCTTTTCTTGTCTCTCCAGCCACCGCTCGACACTCCAGTCCATCGATCAACATGGTTGCCAAAGCCCTCTCCGTCGCCCTCCTGGCTGGTGCCGCCTCGGCCACCTGCCCCCTCTCGGTCCAGATCTCCAACTCTGATGCCCACGTTGTCAGCGTCGCTGTCACCAACACCGGCTCCGAGACTCTCCAGGTCTTCAAGGGCAACACGGTCTTCAGCGACCATGCCACCAAGGATCTCCTTGTGACCGATGCCGGTAAGTTCACACTCCAATCCGACGATTGGCAGATTGTTACATGCAGGACATGAACTAACTCGACACAGAGGGCAACGCTCTCCCCTTCCAGGGCATCTACGTCAACTACAAGCGCCAGGGCCTTGACGCCAGCGCTTTCCAGAAGATCGATGCTGGCGAGACTGTCACCGTCTCCGTCAACGCCGCCAAGAGCTACAAGCTCGAGGGCATCGACGAGGCCAAGATCACCGCCATCCAGGGCTTCCGCTACGCCACTGGCGCTGAGGCTCCTGCCGACTTCAAGAGCCTCGCCTCTTGCGACGATGTCACCTCCGGCGAGGTCGCGGTCACTCCCGACCAGGCCGTTGTCGCCGAGCAGCACATCTCCCGCCGCAACAGCGCCACCCGCTCCCGCGTCGAGAAGCGCTCCATCACCTACTCCTCTTGCTCCGCTTCTCAGACTTCCGCTCTGAAGACCAGCGTCAGCAACGCCATCTCCATGGCCAAGGCCGCCTCCACCGCTGCTGGCACCTCTTCCTACTACTACACCACCTGGTTCAAGTCCACCTCCGTCGTCTCCAAGGTCCAGACCATCTACAACGACGTTGCCGGCGTCCAGACCACCTCCCCCAAGATCTCCTGCACAGACACCTACAGCGACTGCACCGACGGCTCCGCCCTGCTGTACACCGTCCCCGACGACAACGTCATCGTCCCCTGCCCCAACAACGGCTTCTGGGGCTTCCCCGAGCTTGCGTCTCAGTGCTCCGGCGACGACTACGACCGCGCCGGCAGCATCCTCCACGAGATGACCCACTTGTACGGCACCGGCGATTACGGCTACGGCTACGTCGCTGCCCAGGCTCTGTCTGCTACCAGGGCTGCCGCCAACGCCGACACCTACGAGATGTACGCTGAGAGCGTCCGCCTCGGTGGCTGCACCGTCGGCTAAATCTTTGCGACTTACGAATTTCACGAGATCAGAGGGGGTGTGGTGACCGGATGGGAGGCGCGAGGTTGACGGTACTTGAGTGCCTCGCTGAAGGGCTCATCTGGGTGGATTCGTGTAGTTAATCTGTTCTCGCCTTCAGTTACATATTTTGAAAAACAATGGAGCATTTGATGATTATACTCCTGACCTTCCGATTGGTTTTCCCGGTGCATGTTACACAGGCGACAAATCAGGCTGTGTGCCAAGTGAATGCCTTCATGTGCCCACTTCAGATCACCAATGAGATAATGATTCGTGGAACTTGGTTGCCTGACCCATTTATCGCTCGTAGCCTGCTCGCCTTCGAGCCTGATTACTTTTGCAGCTTTCTCCGCACAAGGGAAACAATTTCAACGATTTTACCTACTGCTTCTAGGTACCTACTCCAGCCAAGATGGCTTCTGTCACTAAGCTTTGCGAGTACTGCTCTCTCATCGACTTTAGCTATCTCCGCAATCCTACTGCAGCCGAGATCGACTCTCTCAACGCTGGTGAAAGGCCTACTGAGGACCGATTTCCTCTCAAATTTGGCCAACCCATCGATGGCGACCCGAGTTGGACCTTGGGTCGCGCGGACCGAATCCGTGCCTCGGCGGACACTTGTGTCTTTTGCAAAGCTGTCAAAAAGGTCCTTATTCAGTATGAAGATGAGCTGACAACATTGGAGGCAGTTGGCTTGAAGGATCCTTTGTGCTATGCTACATGTGACATTGCCGGGGCCTTACAACCTCCGAAGGGTACTGCTTGGGAAGGAGCTAAGCCCGGAGAGGCGAATCCGGAGTTTATCATGAGACGTCTGGCGATTTACTTCATTCCTTTCGACGAGAACAGCACGAACGGACTAAACCCTGGACGCGTGGGTTTCAAGGAGGCGTCTTGGAAGCGGATATTTCACTGCTTTCAGACGTATGATGCCGCAAGATCGCAGGATTCCTTCGAAGTGGAAACCTTCTTTGGAGGCCCTCATAACCCAGGCGACATCCTTTTTGCGGGGAGAAAGAGGCCATCTAAGGTGGACATGCGTCTTCCAATTCAATGGGTTAAACATTGCAAGGAAATGCACACCTCATCGTGTGGTTCTGCACAAGTGGAAGATCGAGACGAAGATCAAGACGGAGATGTAGGCTCCAGGTCAGTGTGTTACGTTACAGCGCAAGTTCTCATCAAAGACTGACCTGATATCGAAGCCTTTTGTTTGTCTTTTGTCTCGCAATCGCAAGGCTTTGGCGCAACCTCTTCGCAAAACTATATGTTGCAAATATTCCTGGTTATATGCCACTGTTTCGCCTCATAGATGTAGAAACGATGGCAATTGTAGAACGCAGAAACGTACAGCTCAAAAGTCTGAACTACATGACTTTGAGCTATGTGTGGGGAAAAGCCCCCCAGAAAAAGATGTTATTCAAGGCGAATCGCAACAACCTACTAAAAAAAGACTCGCTAAAAGGCAACCTCTCTCAAACCATTGAGGACGCCTGCAAATTCACGAAAGACATGGGGACTCGGTTCATATGGGTAGATGCTCTCTGTATCATTCAGGATAGCGATGAGGACAAAGCAGTGCAGATCGGCAAAATGGCGGACATATACGCCAATGCCCTGCTCACCATCATTGCTGCGAGCGGCAAAGACTCTCACGCCGGTTTACCTGGCATTTCAACCGACCGAAAGCGAATGCAGAAGGAAATTACAATACGAACATCAACATCCGAGGAGGAGATATCCCTATTGTCTACATTGAGCCATACATCGAGCCGATTTTCAAACTTCAACTCGGAGACGACGTGGTCCTCTAGAGGGTGGACATTGCAAGAACGAGCCGTCTCACGAAGGAGCATAACGTTTCTTGACGAGCAAATCACCTGGGCTTGTTGCGAGTCACACTGGAGTGAGGAGACCAACTCGGAGGCCTCTGCAGTTGTTTCGTGGTTCAACTTGTCAGGTTCCGAATCCTATCTCAATTCGGCATACAGAGACCGGTACGCGTCTGAGATTGATGGTGATCAGATGTGGCACAAGCTGCATCGTCTCGCACGTGACTATTCGAACAGAGAGCTCACTGGGGAAGGTGATGCTTACAATGCCTTCTCAGCTATCATTCAACAGGCACAAGAGATTTCAGGAGAGCAATTCTTATGGGGCCTTCCGACTTCAAGATTCGAACTCGGCTTATGCTGGGAGCCAAACTTGGAGGGGGTGAGAAGGCGTTCAGCCCTGACTACTCTACCGACGACATCTCTTAAGAAGAAGGTCCCGTTCCCCAGCTGGAGCTGGATTGGCTGGAAAGGCCCTATTGGGCTGACGATTGAAGATCGCCATGTTGAAGCCGGGTAAGCTCTGCCAGGAAAACCAATGGTCAAAATCGCTGACGAAAACAAAGGCTGGATCCCGTCATTTCTTGCTACATCATGAGACGCGAACCATTGAGACTAGTTCAAGTCCGCCTCTTGTTCTTGGATAATCCTAAAAACCCACCTGTCGCACGTGGAAGCTCTGCAGTTTCCCGTGACATGATCAAGAATCACTACCCTGATTTGACGACTGAAATACTCGATAAAATACCAGAGGATCAGATTTTGTTTTTCTGGGCTGAATCGGCGCGTTTTCGGGTGACCGAACCGATCAAGTCAGACCTTTGGCAGCCTGGCTGGAACCCGCTTGAAAGAAACCAACATGCATACTACGTCCAGCACATCATTAACTCCGATGGCAGGGTAGTTGGCGAAACTGGCCGATGCAAAGAAAGTTTTGCTGTTGGTGCAAGTAAGAGTGAAGACTACGAGTTTGTAGTCATCGCAGAAAACACAGCGCCCCCAGAGTTTGAGAAGAAGCGGGTTGCATTGCAAGTTGCACGCAGACCCGACGGAGTCGCATACCGCATCAACATTGCCGAGATCAGTCAAGTTGGGTGGGAGAACGCAACCGTGACTCATGGGTTGATTGCATTGGGAAGCGAGGAGGGAGTAGCGTAGAAACATGGGGAGCCTTGACCACGGGAGCGAGAATATTGACTCTGGTGGAGGACTGCAACGCGAATCGCTCTTGACTGATTTGTGGTGCGGGATGATGATCATAGAAAAGCCAATTTACGCCGGCATCGCTGAGAACGGGATAAGAGAAAGTGTATGACTGAAATGATCGCAGCCAGTGTTCTCGAAATTCGTCAACGGTCTCTCTCGACCTATTGTTGCTAAGTCATTATGTCCTCTCCCTCTTTCAGGATGCCTCGGTCAACATGAGCATTACACAACGCGCTGTCATTTTCATCCTATGTAAGCTTGTTTTTGTCTACACGGAGACCGACACCTCTTCGATCATAGCTCTCCACTCCTCCCACATGGTCTCCGCATAAGTCTCGTTCTGCAACACCTCGAGACCGGTCAGTGCTAGAATCTTGGCAGTCTGGATGGCTGATTCGTGGGCAAAGTCCTAGATTTTGATTAGCGATCTCACACACGTTGTGTTTCTCAACAAAAATAAAAACGTACCGTTCCGGCGAGCTCTCGGAAGCCAGCGTTATGTACGGGAGCACCTCCACCAACGGGGAAGCCAACTTGAATAGCCGGAAGGAACCAAGACACGTTGCCCTGTATACCGCAGTTCAGAAGATGTCTTATTCAACACATGCGGTATATGAATGTACCTGATCAGAGGACGCGGAGGCCCCTCCATCTCGACGTGAGTCTTCAGGTGAAGATACGGTGAAATTGGCCGTCTTCGGGTCATTGGCCGGGTCAAGGTACTTCATCTGGTGTTGGTAGAAAGTGCTTGCAAGTTGGAAACTGGGGTTCTGGTCCCAGTAGTCTTGGAATGGAGTGATCTCCACAGTAGTGTTCGTCCCGTTGCCGGACGCGTACAGGATAGACTGCACCTGGTCGAGGACAACGTCGCGTCGTGGTCTGACAGTCAGTCAACGGCAAGGCTGAGAGGAATGGACACTGATGGTAAACCTACCTGGTGTTTCCTCTCACACCCCACTGACTTTCAATGTAGTCCGGAATGATATTTGCCACGGACCATCCCTTCGTGACAACATGATGGATTCTGTCAGAAGGTTGAAGTTGCTGGCGGAACAGCCCGGCCATCTGATAAGCAGCAACGAAGCCGTCCAGAGCATTCTGACCAGCCCACGGGGCTGCGGCCGCATGTGCAGCAACTATCATCGAGCCACGGTAAGCGAGATTCATCAACAAGAGCTTAATGTAGCGGTCACTTGCCTCCAGTCCAAGAGACGTTACCACGCCAAGAAGCCAGAGTTCTACCCCAAGCAGCATAGTCGGAGTTTCCTGGATGAGCCATCAAGCTGCAATCAAGGCCGTTATACGCGCCAGCCTCAAGCATTTTCACCTTACCACCACCCCCTTCCTCGGCAGGAGTACCTAGAAGACTGTAATATCACTGTCAATTCACGATTCCGAGTGGAGGGGAAGTGTACTCACACCACCGAACCTTTCACGTTACCGTTCTCTAGTGCATCCTTCACACCGATTGCCGCTGCAACACCGACAGTGGCGATGAGGTTATGCCCACAAGCGTGTCCCAAACCTGGAAGAGCGTCAAATTCAGAGTTAAACGACACGGCACGTCCTTCACCGTTGGAGAACTCGGCTCTAAAGGCGGTGCTCAGGTTGTAGGCGCTGCGAGTGACTTTGAACCCCTGCTCTTCGAGGAAGTCGGTGAGAACCTGATGTGCGTGGACTTCTTGGTATCCTATCTCCGGATTCTCCCAAATCTTTGTGATTCTGTTAGAAAACATAGCCCGAGGGGTTCTCTTCGGAATCGTAGCCTGTTGACTATCGATGTCTCACCTCCGTATTGAGGGTTCTCAGACCATCATTTCGGGCGTCAATGGCAGCAAAAACTTGATCCGCTAGCTCTTGGCAATTGACGCACGTGTGTAGGAGAGTGCTTGACGCGAGAAAGACGACTGTGGATTTCAGTAAAGACCGCATTATTACGATATCCAAGCTACCGGTGCCAATTTCCAAGTTGAGAGACAAGGCATGATCGTCAAGGATGCAATAATCAACAAAATAACAGCGTGGGATTTAAGTTGTAACTTGCGTCGCTCATGGTCAATTGTTACACTCCGATATCGTATCAATGGGGTTCTTGGCATATGGGGTTGATAGGTCTTGGCAACGACACTGTATTCGTAGGAAACGCCCTGTTACCCCGCAACCTAGATGTAGTTGAGTTGACCTGCTAAATCAATCCTAGGTAATGTTACCAGATTGTAGGCTTCAGCCGACAATCGGACGAGTTGCCCGCGCCTTGAACTAGCCGATAGCTCGGGTATTTGCAATGCTACTTCCTATGTCGCAATTCACTCTCTGAATACCTTACGTAGATGTGAATTTTGATCGTTGCAAAGAGAGTGTGTCCTTGGCTCTTCAATGCCGGCCCGCTGCCAAGCTTCGGCAATATTTGTCCGGTCCAGCCTCGGTCCTGGTTCTCCTATCCGACTGGTTTCGTTATAAACCACGCAATTGTCGGTTTTCCTCACTTAGCATTCAATCGTCGCCATAGTACAAATCTTCTGGTTTTCTGTATCACGCATCTCCCTGGAGTAAGGTAGGTCTTTGTAAAGCATTCAAAGCAAGACTTCGAGCTAGGGGAGTGGGGAGATGATTTAACTGCGTCTCTCCATGGAACCAATATAGGACGTACAAGTTACCTAACTAAAGATCTTGACTTTCAATTCACCATCCATATGATTATATCGAAATTCATGCTTTCATGTAGTCGCTTTTCGTTGAACTTGTTGTCTTTTGATCTCTGACCATATTTCCACGCGGACCTTTCTGTTGACGGCTCCTTGTAAACCTCCCATTATCATACTGGCGGTTAACCGCTTGAGACCCGGCATGTTTTCTTCGAAATTATTCCTGCACGGAATGGGATACCCAATCCCACCCACCAAATAGACGAACCATAGCCGTCTGCTGATGTCTCGATTTTGACCCAAACTCAGACGAACAGAATGCGCTCCTTTCTTTTGTGGAGACTTACTTGGCTATGAAAGGTGATGAGATCTGCAAGTCCGGTTCGCGCCCTTAGCTCATTTCAGTATCTGCCTCGTCGGTCTGGCTTCCAGAAAGTTGTACGTCTCATTAACAAGTTTGTCGTGCATGCGAAACCTCCATGCCTAACGAGTGAACATTATTCTACATGTACAAAGATACACGAGAAAACCTAGTATTCTTCACTCAAACGTATATTACTCAGAAGCAAGAAAAGCGTTGTGTGGATACTACATTATCAGTTAGTGCGAGGCGATGTTCCGCTCCTGTCTGTCTAAAAGGTCGGTAGCCGGAAGCATGATACGAGGGGTTGACGGTGACTTGAAAACAACACGTTTGCGTGAAGTGGGAAAGAGAATCGTCATAATTAGCAAGAATCACTTTTGCGTCGTTGGAAATCAAACTGAACCTGCCTCTCTGTATCGATTTATGTTCTCAGGCCCTGATTGCTGAGCTCTCGCAGGCTCCATCACAGCATCCACGCCGCCAATCACCACGCATCGACCAACGAGCCCCAAACATAGGGGGCTTTCCCAAGGGATAAGGCCAAGCAAAAACTCACTGCCAGGGCAGAATTAAATCAGCTGCTCAGCCCTGGGATGAGCCGCTTTGATGTCCCGTGGCGGTGGGATCGGCTGGTCGTATTCATGGGTGCCAATGCAATGCCAAGGGCCAAGAGCAGTAGCAGGACGACGTTGACGCAGACTTGCCAAGCAATGTCTCGAAACCTTGTCAAAACATACGCAATGGAAATGAGGGAAAACCGTGGGACATTCGGATAAAGTGCGATTACTTTCCATAAACTTTGCTGAAGTCTATGCAAACATTCGTCCAACCTCTCTGCTGTCAATCTTCAACTTCCGAATCATGAAATTCCAAACAGCCTTCCCGTCATCAAAGGCTTTGTTCATTATCTTTCAACTGGTTGCAACAATGCAGTTGTTTTGCATGTACTATCCTTACCTGACCAGACTGCCTCGTCGTAGGACGGAGCCTTCACATTCTCACTTACACTGCCATGGAGACGACGACTGTTTCCCGTTCATTCATGATTCTCTGTCCGAGGACGTGTCAACAAGCATTCAATATTGCAAGAACAACTCCGCAGAGATGGATCGTGAGAAACCACGAATTGCAACAGTCACCGCTCAATTCGGCGAGCCCCAGCACCACTATCAACGAGCCTTGCGGACCCACCTGGTTCACAGCATAATCCACGGCACCGATGTTCATGTCCTCTGCGAAAATATCGTCGACGATCTATGGAATAAACCTGCCTTCATTCTTTCGATCCTTCTCGACGAGCTCGCGAAACCCCAAGAAGAGAGACTGGAATGGTTGATGTGGGTCGACCGCGATACCATCGTCCTGGACAACTGCAGGTCTCCAGCCAGTTTCCTGCCCCCTGCTCCTGGGTGGGCCGCGAACGGACCCGACCCGGCATACATCACCAAGCGAGACAAGTTCCCCAAAGGCAACATTCACCTCCTTGCGACGACGGACTGGAACGGTTTGAACAACGGGGTATTCTTACTGAGGGTCAACAGGTGGAGCGTTGACCTCTTCGACTCGATCTTGTCTTACCGACACTACAAGCCGGACGTGGAGCTGAAGTTTACGGAGCAAAGTGCCATGGAGCTTCTCCTGCAAGAAGAAAAGTTTCGACACAATGTGACGTGGGTACCTCAGTGGTGGTTCAACGCTTATCCTGGTCCACAGAGGGACTTCACAGCGGATGAGCAGGTCAAACTGGAGGCGTATCATGCAAGGCCCGGAGACTTCCTTGTTCACTTCGCCGGGGTTGGCAATCGGGAGGAGGCCATGCCTCCCTGGCTCCGGGTCGCCGAGTTGAGGACAAGTGGTTGGGCTGCCGGGCCTACGCAGAGAAAGCTCGACTACGAGGTTGCAGACTTTTGGCGCAAGAGAGCTGTCAAAAGCCCTTAAGAGTTCATGGTGCACAAAGGGTGCCTCCATTATGGAACATAGAAAGATTAAGAAGTTGATCACTGTAGACCAAAACATTACGTTTCGCCGAGCATTCTTCACTTGGGACCAGTGTGTAATTCCGTCGGAAGGATGGGAACATTGATGATCGCGAAGAATGGCTTTTGTTAATATTTCATCTAAAGTATGAACTAGATTGAAAATTCAATTTTATAAGTCGTCACTGGAGGAGCAGGCCAGTTCCTCAACACCATTGATCATGGCATAAGCCGGCGGGGGGTCGTTGAACTCTGCATCCGCAATAATTACCTCAACGCCCGTTCGCAAGCACTTGTACCTTCGCAGTCAGTTCATGTCTATGTCTTTTTCGCTTTGGCGGCATACCTGAATCCTCTTGTGTGTACCTGTGGAAACCCCACAGATAACCTCCAAAGCATGCCTGATTGAAAGCACGGAAGATCCAAAGGTTGGTGAAACGAGTGGGACGACGTGGCTTTTCCAAATGCCGGGGTCAAGAGAAAAGCCATTTTGCCCTTCCGCAGGAGAAATCGGTATATCGCCCACAATACCGCAAATGGGATCATACCTGACGTCCTCTCGCGAGCTCTGGCCCACACATACTGCCGTAGTAGTGCGAAGGCGCAGCACCAGATTCCGTAGTGAGATTGGCCCCAACCTCTGCATCAAGTCAGGTTGAACGGAAACCTCCAGAGCCAACGCTAGGGGCTTATGGGGGTATACCACCGGCGGCGCCGGAATGGTCATCTTCAGCTGCAGGGAAGGGCTGTATGCCGGCAGGGTACTCCGGACCTGCGCCAGCGGCTGCGCAGTTTCCAATTCCTCGGCTGCGATGGAAGAAGTGCACGAGCAATCACCGATGGTCGGCGAAATAACTCGAAATTGAGGCAGGGGCCGGAAGAGTAATTCTGTTTTCTTAACAGTGTTGAAACGAAGAATCCCTTGTCGTTGAATTTTCACTTTCAATACGTAGGCGACGGTAACTTTCAGGCCGGCAGTGTTGATCCCTGTCGACGGTGGGAGGCAAATGGTCTCGCAGTGGGGGTCAGCTGCGGAATGCGGAAAACAAAGTGACAGGGGGAAGCAATGCTTCCCCTCCTTCAGAGTTCCCGCGGCCTGGGCGATCTGTGACGACCGCTTGAAAATCTGCTCCCACCAATTGTCAGGCGGCAAGCCCATGCGCTGTGTGCTTCAGAATACTTACCTTGCGTGACTGTTGTGTCGTGTTCGATTGCGGCATCTTGGCGGAGGAATCTGGTGTCAATACAGCGGCGCATCTGATGTCTAGCCTGCCGAGAGCCGTCTCCATTAGCAGCTGGAGCCACCGGCACCAACCATATCACTGAATACCTTGAAGTGAGACCATGATAGAGGCAATAGCCACCGAGTGTTGCACATGAACATCGATCGTTCCCTCCACCTCTTCTCCAGGATGAAACCAGCCTCGTCCGGTGGGAAACTTAACACACAAGTCGACTCTCATCTCGGCGCCACTGAACGTCAGTCCGAAGATACGAAAGTGGAATGAAGGTCTGCCACATGCGCGGAAGCCAAGCGTTCGTCGCAAGCAATCTTGAATTAAAGTATTGTGCCGAGATATTTATGTTGAGTTGGAACAGGAGGCGAATGTCACATCAATCACAATCGCCTGATCGCTTGAGTGTGTCGACGGAATAGAATGTTCTCCATTCAGAGCAGCACGTATCTCGCAGCTGCTGAACTGTTGCAATGCCTTTTACTTACCCTAAAAGTGATGAGCGACTCAACACGCTGGTTTACCTCTTGTTTCGACTGGCAACGGTTAGGAGACAGCTGTGTCGGCAAAGGTACTCCGATTTGCGGCTGAATGAAGCATCATAGTCACGTAGTTCCCATCGTATCATTCGTCTGCACCAAGTGCAATGGAAAAATCTCTGGAGCGATGTGCTCAACACTACGTGAGCGGGTTTGGGGGCACGGTGGCCAGGGAATGACGGGACCTGCCACGGTGCCACTGTGGTTCGTTTAAGTCTATGCTGCCCGGGCAGAAAACTGAAGATTAGTCCAGCGCTAGTGCCGCAAATACGGACGAAATCGTACATTCCCCCCCATTCTCCTTCGGGACTGGCTGGGTTCTGCCCGCCCAGAGACCTGCTGAGTCTTGGCACTGTCGCCCCTTGGCAGAGTGCGTCAAATGATGCGTGATCTGAAGGGAACGGGCATTTCCGGATCTCATCTACAGCGAAGAAGACTAGCGACGAACAGGATAATCGCAGAGGAACGAGGAGGCTCAATAACAGCCATGTAGATAGGTGATGGAGATTGTTCTCATAGATAGTCGGCCGTTTCTGGAGCATCAGCTTTCGCATGCTCAGCCAGATATCTTGTCGGGGCGGTAGACATACCGAAAGCAATGGCAGTCCCCATACCGGATGCTGCGAATGGAGCCGAAACATTTGATCCTGTGACGTCACGCCGGGCAACGGTTCTAGACGGCGGCGCACCCTTTGCCCCTGCAGTCATGTTTTCTTTCGGAAGATTTCTGGCCTGGGCCTGACTCTTGCATCCTGTATAATACAAGCTTCCTGTCTCATAGCTAAGATCCAACCATCCAGGACTTCTCATTGAGGCCGCAGCGTCCCTTAATCCTATTTCTTTTGCACCCCTAACGCTTGGCGCTCTTACATTCTCCCATCCGTCCCACTACTCTGCCACAGGTCATAATGGCAACAGAGCCAGAGTCCAGCACCTCCAGCGATACGCAATTGCGGCCAGTTGAGACGAAGATGTCCTACTCCTATGAGGATGAGAAGGGATGGCGACGCTGGAGGGTGCTTCGTCCCGGACGGGGTATCTACCATGATATCAAGCGAAGGTTGCCATACTACTGGAGCGATGTCGCCGATGCATGGACATATCGCACAGTCGCAAGTACAATCCGGATGTACTTTGTCAAGTAAGATGACGCTTTCCAACTTTGCCTATATCGAAATATAGCTAACCGGTCTAGCCTGCTTCCAGCGATTGCATACACCCTCGACATGTATCGAAGAACTGGCGAATTCTTCGGTGTCAACGAAGCGCTCTTCTCCTCGGCACTTGCCGCCGTCGTCTTTAGCACACTCAGCGCCCAGCCCCTGACGATAGTTGGTGTCACCGGCCTTATCTCTCTCTTCAACTTCACGATCTACGACATCATCAAGATTTATGACGTTTCTATCTACCCACAATTCATGGCTTGGACAGGAATTTGGGCTGCAATCTTCCACTGGCTAGTTGCAATCTTCAACGGATGCGACTACATGCGCTACGTGACGGACTTTTCTAGCGAATCCTTTGGCTTGTACGTGGGAATCATCTACATCAGTAAGTAATCACCTTTGCTTTACATGGCACCCTTTATTCACATCATTATAGTCAAAGGGGTTGAGGAACTAGTCAATGAGTTTACTACTGAGGGCAGTGCTGCTGGGTACTTGGCCTGCTTGATTGCCATACTCTATTTCGGAACGGTCTACGCGCTGGAAAAGCTTGGCTCTAGCACTCTCTGGAGAGCCGGTTTTCGAGGCATTCTCGCAGACTATGCCTATGTCGTAAGTCTTCTTCAAATTTTCTTTTCCACAATTGAGTGATTGCCTAACTTCCATTCCCACAGTTTGCTACGGTCTTCTGGGTCGGCTTCTCCCACATTCCAGGACCTTTGAAGGACGCACACATTATGAGAGTTCCCATAGAGACAGCGTTCCATCCCACACAGCCACGAAACTGGCTTATCGACTTCTGGAATCTCGATGTCAAGTGGGTGTTTGTTGCCATGCCTTTTGGTTTCCTGACCATGTTGCTCTTCTACTACGACCATGTGAGTTGCGACCCGGGATGTCGAAGAACTCATACTAACCACTTCATAGAATGTCAGCAGTATTACAGCACAAGCTCGCCAATACCCACTTCAGAAACCTGGCGGGTTTCATTGGGATTTCTTCCTTCTCGGGTGCACCACTTTCGTCGCAGGCATCCTTGGGCTCCCGATGCCGAATGGCCTTGTTCCCCAAGCTCCAGTTCACACAGACTCATTGACAGTCTACAAGACAAGTCTTAAGATCATCCCAACATCAGAGGGGGAGGACACTGAGATCCGCCGTCCAATTGTCAGCGCAACGCATGTCGTCGAGCAGCGACTGTCGCACCTGTTGATGGGGCTTGCCCTGATTGGAACGATGACCGGGCCTCTTCTTGTCGTTCTTCACACAATGCCGGCCGCGGTATTCGCTGGTGTATTTTTCGTGGTCGGAGTAAGTTTATGGTAGCGTTCAACGTCTTTGGTTGATAACTAACGAGAATCAGTGGGGATCAATTGAGTCAAACTCCATCTTGCAGAAATTCGTGTTCCTCCACTCCGAGAAACGGTTCATTCAACGCGACGAGCTGTTGCTACAAGTGCGCCGTCGCAAGATTTGGCTTTACATTATCCTACAATTCGCGGATGTTGCGGCGTGTGTAGCTATCTCGCACACCCTTGCAGCAATAGGCTTCCCGGTTCTGATCATCCTGCTCATCCCCATGAGAGTTGTGTTAGTGCCGAGATGGTTCACCCAGAAAGAGTTGCAGATACTGGATGATTTCACAGCAACGAATAAAATGGTGCTGGCGAGTTTAGGTGGCAAACCCGGCCTCCCTGAAGGTTCTCGGGAGGAGGAATGGGGCTTGGAAAGACGTTTCAGCGAGAGCAAGCATGGGGTGCCAAGACAGAGAGCCGGGAGCGTGCACCGCTAAACTTGACAAGAGTATGCAAATTATTTCTTCGGGCATCAGTAACCAGAAAAGCAAGAATCTGCGAAGGATCTCAACGGGGATGACATACGACTGAGGATATTCGGCGCTGTCGGCAGCTGTGATCAGTACAGTGGCCCACTCAATAGAAACGGACGTAATTCTACTCTTTCAGGAAATGCCGTATTAGGAAACACTAAGTCCGTGAACCTTCGACGATTGCAAATCGACGTCATCCCGTCTGTATGAACAGCTGAAAACGATTTCAAATACAGCGAATATCAATTCCTTCCCGCGCGCTTATGATAACAATCTATCTCCATCTGCAATGAGAATACCGTCACTCCACCTGGAGTCCTTCATGTGCTGAAGCTCGAATGAAGACCAATCGTGAAATCCATGGCTTTGCGTGCAAACCAGAAATTTGTCGGGCCACATATTTTCCTATAAAGATCCAGCTACCGTCTCCCAAGGATCTGAAAGAATTACTCCTGCCACATCAAATCACACTTGCCATCATCAATCAGTACCATAGTTAGACATGTCTTACACTCCGACTACCCACAGCGCAAGCTACGAGGCAATTTCTGCTACGAATCCGTCGATCTCCGCCGCCGGCAAAGTCGTCCTCATAACTGGAGCCGGATCTGGAATTGGGAACGCCGCTTCGTTGTCCTTCGCTACAGCCGGAGCAAAAGCCTTGATTCTGCTCGGCCGCCGAGTGGAGTTGCTTGAGCAGGTTGCCAAGCCCATTCATTAGAAAGGCCTCGACACGGGGACAGCCTGTTTTGCTGTTGATGTCTGCGACGAACAGCTTGTGAAATCTACGCTGAGCCAGATCGTTTCCAAGTACGGACGCATCGACATCGTCATACACGCAGCTGGAGCCCTCCCACCTCTGGGCCCTCTGGCAACGGTGCCCCTCGACGACCTCTGGAGGGCATTCGAAGTAAACATCAAAGGCTTACGAAGTAAACATCAAAGGCTTACTGACCTTAGCTCAGGCTATGTTGGCTGTTATCACTTCGGATCAAGATGGCCCATCTCAGCCAGTCATTATCGTCCTCAACACTGCCGGGAGCATCATGCCTCCGCTACCGGGCATGGGCGGGTATGTAGCAAGCAAGATATCCTCTTCGAAGCTAGCAGAGTACTTGGCTTCGGAGAACAAGGACAAGTTGTGAGTCATTTCGGTGCACCCAGGTATAATCCAGACTCCGATGGCTGAAGAGCTTGAGAAGGCAGGACTCAAATTTCCGTATGACGACAGTACGCGTCGACTGACTTGAAGGAGCTTCCCATCGCTGACGCTGACACGTCTTAGTTTCTCTTCCCGCAGACTTTCTCGTCTGGACTGCCAGCCAAGAAGCGGCTTTCCTGAATGGGAAATTCGTCTTCGCCAACTGGGATGTGGAGGAGCTCAAAGCTAGTGCTGGGAAGATTGAGGGTGGTGCAGACCTCAGCATGATGTTGCGAGGCCTGTGACGGTAGCCATCGATGTTTGGAGAGTTGTCTCGTGAAAAGATTGCTTACGCTGAGACTTGGTTCTAAAGGCAGAATTCGCAGACTGTTAAGCTCGAAACCTTCGTGTTGCGCGTGGTAACCATGGAATTTGTCGGGACACTCTCCGCCGTAGTGCCCGGGCCCTCGACTGTTCTCGGAAGCTGAGTGGGTCCTTGGTCGTCGTGGGCGGCACTGATTTGACGGGCCGGGCGGCCGGCATCAGCCAGTTGAAGTCACCCAGTCTTGTTCGACACACCTGTAGTGCTGAAACCATTCGCGGATGTATGTATCATATACCAACTTGAAGCAAGTATCGTCATTGCAAGCGGTTTTTCTGGGGATGCTCAATCAGATTCTTTAGTGCCAGTGAGAGACTTAGCGCCAAGGCGGCATCACTGCACAAAGCACCCGCGTCAGTGTTAACTAGTTGTCTACTAAGACATCCCCTCAGGACACCTGAAGTGAGATTTAGCGTGGTGAAAATGGGTGACCCGATTGGTCGTGAAAAGCGTCTCTCTTTGAAGTCCGCCTGGTCCATCGCGATTCGCGACCCCTGAATGATAAGCGGCGCTAGAGAGCATAGTGCCGGACGTCAAAGGCATCCATGAATGTCTAAATCCCTGGATGACGATCAGCACTGCAGTTGATCGGCACCAATATTTAGACTGCCAACCAACCAGACAATAACATGCAGCGGTTCGCAACGGTTTCGCGCATCTTACTCACAGACACCCATGGCAAGCCATTTTAGTGAAGATGAGAGATACTTCGTATTTCTTTGCGTAGCTTGCAGCTCACATAAGCCGCTTACCTACATCTGCGCTGCGTTTATGCTACACAATATTGGAAACCCCGCGCCGGGGACGCAGGAACACAGGATGGGATTCGTCAAAGTCAAGAAAATGCAGCAAGGGTACGAATTGCTCACAACCTCATCCTTGAAGCAATCTATGTAATCAAGGGTTGGGGTAGTCCGTTGCGGCTGTTGATTCTCATCAGGCGACCTTCGCCCTCGCATTATCAACGATTCTTGAGTTTGTAACTGCTCAGGCCGAAAGGTGACCAAAACCAACCGGCAATCGGCTCCGAGTCACAGCGTTGGCATACGAGGATCTCCGCGCCATTTTTCTTTTTTGCTTCTGGTCTGGTGCCTGACTATTGGCACCGTTGTGCGCCACGTTTTTCGCGCTTGCGCTTGGTCGTCGAGCTGACATCAAGCTGAATATGCCGGCCGACGCTTGATTTTGCGGGCTAGAGCGAAGACTCGCGACCCCAGGTCTAAAATCTGACCGCATCAAGCGAAAACTTCCCCGAAATTGCCAGAGCGCGGCAACTGCCACCAACGTGCATGGACTAATATCTTTCGTTTAACCAGTTTGCGTAGTCGGAGCGCTGCTCCTTCGCTCTAGAACGAAGTCATCTGCCGCGTCAACGCTGGGACACAGCAACCGTTACCGTGGGGTTGGGAGCATTTTTATTCAAAGCGATGCGTCCTCCGGAGAAAGCTCAACACGCAACTCTCTCAGCCGCAAGAGAATCTGCCATCCTGTTCGGCAATAAGCTGCAGTAGCTATAATCCGAGGCCGCATCTGAGCTGCACATCTAGGCTGCAATAGAACCTCACAACAACAACTACATATAAAGAGACAGGAACCTCCTACTCGTCTCCAATCTCATCTACAGCAGCACACTTCTCTTCTCCGATCTTACATATCTTCTCCGATCTTACATATTCATACATCAGCCTCAGGTCTCAAGGCTCTTATTCTAGCCCGGCAGCTCAACCCCAACTTCAACATGAAGACTTCCACCATCACCACCGCCCTGGCCTTCGCCCTCTCTGCGGCTGCTGCTCCCGGCGCTGAGACCTACGGAATCAAGAGAGGCAAGACTTGCCCTACCAACACCGCCCAGCCCGATGGCACCCTCGGCAAGTCCTACGTGAACACCAGCCTGCTGGTTCCCATCTCCAAGAAACTGCCCAGCGTTGCCTTCCCCGCCACCAAGATGGCGATTGTGACCCCCAACGACGTCTGCACCGTCTTCAACCTCGACTTGCCTGTTGCTCAGACCCAGGGCAAGGTCTGCAACCTCGTCTTCGACTTCCCCTCCTATGAACAGCAGGCTCTCGGAAAGTACCTCTTCCACGGCCCGGGTACATTCCAGTTTACTGGTTACGCCATCGGCGCCGGTGCCGTGTCCGGAGTCACTTCCTACAACAAGCAGCCTGCGCCTGGCCCGAGCCCTCCCAACCCTCCCCCCACCATGACTCCCGGTCACAGCTACGTAAGTCCTGCATCGTCGGCCGACATGGCTCATGAGCTAACATCACAATCTCAGATCGTCAACAGTGCCCCTTGTGGCATTCCCGCCAATGTTCCCGGCACTGTTACTGTCTCTGGCAGCCTTTGCTCCCCCGACACCGTCTTCTCTTTCCAACAGAGCAACGACGGCTGCCCTCTTGGCTTCTACGTCGTCCTGACCGATGCTTAAGTATTCTAAGGCACATGTTGAAGCAAAGGTCATGACCATGGATATAGGTCGAGCTTGAGTGTGGTATGCTATGTATCATATTGACAATACCTGTACATATGGTCTTCTAGAGGGTAGATAGTAATTTGTAAGACCTGGTTATCTTTGTTTGTCATTGGCTTCGCAAAGGGGAAGCTTTCATGGAATGTCTCTTAGGACAAGTTCATAACGTACTCTTTTGTGTCTGACGAAACTATTCAGTGGTGGTTTTCACTCCTCCTGGCCACGGTCTAATTGTAGCTTACAGACGTGATACATGTAAGCCGAAGGTACCACTGATACAGCCGGATCCAAGACCGCGACTTATTGTTTCCCACAAATAGTATTCTTGAGCTCCAATCGCAACCTCTGGTCAAATAGAAAAAGGGCAAAAACGAAACTTGGAAGGAAAAGGCACTCTGAAGCCCGAGGCTTTCCACTAGGCTTTCCACCATGTCTCGCAACTCTCAGATCGTTCTGTGATGTCACAGCCTAAGAAGACGCAGCAGGGTGCATGCACCGTGGGGCATAACTCGTATGCATGGCGCGGAGCGCATAGTTGGGGAACGGGTCGGGGTCGTCGGGGTTCGCATTGTTCTGCACGCGATAGACCAGCGACCGCGGATAGAACCGAGTTCCGCGCCCGTCGAGTGAATCCGTAAGGTTTAGGTGGTATCCATGCGAGTCGTGATCTCTTCCCGAGACAAAAGTGAAGTTGTAGTAGCCATCGGTGCACCATCCCGTCCAAGTGGGCGGAATCGAAGGGCTGTGGTAGTTGTCGCCGCTGCTGGACCTGCAGGACGCTTGGTTGATCATGGCGCCGCTTTCGGTAACGATGCCGACTTCGAAGCTATAGCTTGTAGATGAAGATTTCGGCCCTGACCCAGCATAGAAGTCGTCAATTTTGTAGAATGTGGAAGCTTGACGTTGGTCGTCTGCAGGCGCGGCGGAACCAACGGCACAGAATATCATGATAAAAGCGATGCGCTTCATTTTCTTGATTAGAACCGAAGGTGGTTTGGGATGAGTACAACCGAAAAGGCTGATCTCTGAATTATATGAAGGGCAGTGACGATGGACGAGATTTTCAGCTTTTATATATTCATGTTAGAATCCGACAAGAGTACGGCCAGAGCATGTCAACCCTCATACCGCTTGCACTTAGGTCTCATGGCTACAGTAATGTCTTTGTTGCGGTACAGAGTGAGACTGTTACCCTTTTCTGCAGGCTGTGACGTTATTAGTGACCGCTGAGCTCCTCGCGATGCCCGATGGTGACGCTGTTCAAAACACGATTCGACAGCCGACAAACAGCCGCCTAGTCTATGAAACAACCTACATCATTCCATAACTTTGTCACATGTATCGAACGGCAGTGCTGGATAAAGGTCAATGTTTGTGCAATTATTGAGACTGGAGTATAGAAGTTTCCTACCAAGCTTTCGAAACTGCGGAACCGGCTATGATTAGTTCTTGATTGCACCGATTCTGAAGATTGCGCGTTCCCTAGCTGGGCTACACGCAAATACCGGACGCTCACTCAAAACGCTTGGTCACACTATGCGAGATCGTATCACGCCCATGACTTGCTTAAGTCGCGGATGACATTACTTCAAAGGCTGTTCAAAATCAAACCCTATTACACAACACTTGACGCGTCACGTTAAGTCCACAGGACATCCCCATAACGATAGGTCGGTAGACCAACGATCGAGTACTTTTGAGCTATGGAAGGTTAGATATAGTGGCTTGTGATGTCAACATTTACAATGAGATGCCGACTGTCTCATCGCAATGATTGACTGTACATATACCAGGCCATACCCTCTTGGGCCACGACAGCCTAATAGCAATCAGCCAGTTTTGTAACATATTTCTGACTGTATTTTCAAAGTGGAGAGTGTAACCATGGAAAATGGCTGGGCGTTGCCGATGTTACTCTGTTGGCGGGTAAATGTGTAGCATGAGCCTACACAGAGCGCCCCTTCCCGAACCGCTGGGGTATGATTGAAGCGCTTTTTCAATGTCGATCATTATCACGAAATGGCTCGCAAATCCCCCCTTCCCGGACTGAATTGACGAGAAATTAACATATCATCAGATTATGGTGTTCTCGATTGGTGGGATTTGTATTTGAAAATTTACGGGAGTCAGCCCCGTCTGTCCTTTTATGGCGTTCTTCAGGTTAATTGACGGTCCATTGCCGGCATCTGAGTTGCCGACCTCGCGGTCCAAGGATGCTGGTGCAGAGTCCGATAGCCTTGCATCAACCGCAAAGAGCCCGACAGATTCGGTCACGGCCAAGAAGGACCACATAAAGTCAGAGTGTATCCCCCACGACAAGAATGATGTTTGAACTATGACTTCCATCACATCGGCTCTTACTTGGGATACTTCACCCTTCACCACTAAACGATGCGATCTTCTATGCTTTTTTCAGTGGTCGTGATGGCACTCCGTGCCATGACGCA